GTCTAAAGAGGTTATATTTTCATTTTACAGGTCACTGGTTAGGCCACATTTGGAATATTGTGTTCAGTCTCGGTCTCCTTACCTTAGGAAAGACATTGAATTGTTGGAAAGGGTTACTAGAATGGTGCCTGGGATGGAGGGGTTGTAATACGAGGAGAGGCTGAAATCTCTGAAACAGTTTTACTTTTCTAACAGGGTGACTGGCCTTTGGAATGGGTTGCCTTCAGATGTTGTAGAGGCAGTAGATGTAAGTGAGTTTAAGAAAAAGTTTGATAAGTATATGAATGAAAAGGACTGAGTTTAAAATTTGTTTATTATTATTATTTAATCATTTTAATTTAGTTTTGAGGATGAAACAGCCAAGATGGACAAATAGGTCCCATGTTGTCCCAAAATGTTATGTTAAATAATACGTAACGTAATGTTTTATACTTATGTATTTAAATAACTTTCAGTTAGAACTAGGCATAGCAAGAGCATTTGAATAAGAGACTATAACACATCTGACCTGCTAAGCTCTAGAATTGAACGAAACCTCTCGTCAACAGCAAGACACAGTAGGAATGCTATTTTACACTTTTCTTACAGAAGTCTGGTTATCAGGCAGTTTATACTGTGTAATTTAAATTGTTTCGAATCCTGTAATGTCTTTTTTTTATGTAATTAATTTAATGTAATTTTATTTGTTAGCCTAACACAGACTTAAACTTTTGAATTGATACAATTTATTTAAAATACTTTTAAGAATTGAGTATGAGGGCTTAGTGAGGAAAACCATCTCGTTCTTAATATTATGCTTTATTTCGCAAAAGTTAAGCTTTCGTTTTGAGTAATAAAATGCTACTGATTTATTACAATATTTTCTGGGATGTATTAATTGTAATTTTTATCCAGTTTCTTAAATTTGTAACGCCATCTGTTGATAATTTTCATATTTCTAGATAGGAAGTATGAAAGCATCCTTTAGTTGATGGTTTTTGTTAAAATGGTCTAGAAGTTTCATGACAGATTAAGGTTATATTAAAACGATTAAAACATGGAGCTCTTTGTGCTTCATTAATTGACAAATTTAAATTCCATTGTGGTATATTGCCATATGTAAATGTTGACTGTTGTGTAACCCTCTGTTCACGAATATAATCATTATATATTTTTTTTATTCTAGCTTTTTTCAGGTTAAAATATTTCAAATGAGAAAAACAATCTACAAATATCTAACGAGTCCAATTTAGAAATATCGCCTACGTAGTTGGAACTCCAAACCCTACTAACTGAATATAAAAGACAGATTTGCTAGAATAATCTCAAAACCTTATTTAGTACGATCTAAAAAACTAAATCCCATCTATAGAATGTAACTTTTTACATCTACTAACTAGATTGTCTTTAAAAGCATGCTTGTTCAATATATTATAAAAAGTAGTCCAATTTAGAAAACATTGCTTAACTATCATAGACTTAATGCAATTTAGCAAAACCCAATTTCATGCAGAATAATTAACTATTACAACTTGAAACTCTGCTAGTTAGTTCGATGTTGAGAAACCTATCTAATATTTATGTATAAAAAAACTAATCCCGATTAGGAAATGTAATTAATCCAATCTATGAGACTAAGTAATCTATTTTGCAAAAGACTTTCTGTTTATATCTCGAGAAAAATTAAGTTACAAACCTAATTATTCCAATTGAGGAAAGAAAAAACTACTACATTATCCGTTTTGCAAGGAAAAAATATCTCACTCAAGAAACATATAAACAATTAAGTCGACTAAAATTAAATTGGTCCAACCTAGAAAAATCTGCTATCTCTCAATTGAGAAACTAACTCTTTCACTTTGCAACAGAAACTAATAATTAGTTCCATTTGGAAATAAGTTATTAAATTGATAAAAACTAAACTGATCCAATTTAGAAAAAATCTAATAATTAGTTCAATCTAAAATGTTTTAAGTTTATTGAAAATGGTTGAGAGAATACTCAATTAGATATTAAAAAATAGAAAATATTTTGATACATACCTAAAAAAGTTGTCTGATATATTACAGATTATCGCTATAATGGTTTATCTTTTATTAAATAAGTCCGTAAATTGTAATTATATTATTTTTTTAAATATTATCTAATCATTGATTCTCATGTCCCCGTACTTCATCGCACACTAGCTTGGAAAGTTGATTAAAAATAGGCTTAGCTAATTTAACCAAATAGCGTATGAGATATAGCGTAGCAGGGGCGGTAATAAAGATACTGGTAAAAATAAAAGACAGATAAAAACAAACAAGTCTTGTGTTTTAGGTATGGTATAGAATGATAATTTCCGAAAGAGGCATTTTACTTTTTTATTATCACATACACGCGTAAACCCTGTTATGAATTTATAGTTCGTAAATATGCTATAGCACCAAACATATTGTTGGTGTATAGGTTTTTCTCATAGTGACTATAAAGACCGTTCACACCAACAATATGTTTGATACTGTTCTCTATGATGTAGATCCAGCTATCTCTCTTTGGTTAACTTGTATTCAGGGTTACTGATAAGAAGTGGAATTCTCCGAAACTAGTATAACCCAGTAACACGCGTTGATCAAGGTGTAGATTGAACTGGACCTCTCTTGAACTTAGACTTCGAAATCAAACAATTTTCGGAATACTAAGTTTATTTATTATATGCTATAGTTGCTTGGCTTAGCCGTTATTGATGATGTTTCCCAAAATAGTTTTTGAGTTTTTTTACCTGTTTGTGTAATTTTCTTTGTCTTTTTTACCCTTGTATTTAATACCCAGATTCATAGTGTAGATGGTGATCATTTTGCACAAATTTTGTTCACATATATAGTATTTAATTTTTTTAGATGTTACTTAGTATATATCAATTCATATGTATTTTCTATAAAAAGATTAAAAAAATTTGCAATTTTTAAAATTTTGTTTTACACTCAAGACCGAGCACAATTTTTTTCATCAGAAAGCAAAGTGAGCAATAAATTAAACATTTGTTTTTCTATGTAAGGTACTTTGAGATGTCTTTTCCTCACCCACAATGTTCCCCTTTTTTACGTGATTTCTAGAATATGAGCATTAAATTGTACTTTTATTTTCTGTTATGATTATTCAAATTGATACCGACTGTTTGGGTAACTTTTTTCATTTGTCAACGCCTCGGTGACTGTAAAGTTCACCACCTTCAAGGCTATTGACGAAAATGTGACTAATAATGTAATGACAAAAGTAATTAGCACGTAGTACTGATAAATTGGTATATGATAAATTATTTTTATCTGAATCAAACATTGACGAAAATGTGACTAATAATGTAATGACAAAAGTAATTAGCACGTAGTACTGATAAATTGGTATATGATAAATTATTTTTATCTGAATCAAACATTTTTTATAAATTAAAAAATAGAGAAACGTGTCGAATTGTTTATCTACATATTTAAAGTAGAAAAACTTATTCAAAACAGTATAGTAAATGTCAAAATAAGACTTCGATGTTTCGAGATCCGTTTTGAATTTTAAAGCAGTGCATATTTCAGACTTTTCAAATAATAACGTAAGCTACAAATTTCAACAATGACACCCAGAAATAAAACAAATAAACTATCAGATATGCATATTTCAGACTTTTCAAACAATGACATAAACTAACAAATTCTACAATGATTTACGTAGCAATATAACAAATTATCAGATGTGCATATTTCAGGTTTTTCAAATAATGACGTACACTAACAAATTGCAACAATGACATACCCAACAATGAAACAAATTATCAGATAAAAATCATATAAAGTACAGACATGTTTTAATAGATATTTTCCCATTCTATTCAATGGTAGAGTTAATCTTCCGTTTGTACAATGAACTTCATAAACATAATATACATACGTGTTATTAAAAACTAAACGCAAAAAGTAGAAAACTTCACTAGGTTGCCCCCCCATCCCTCAAAAAAGAAAAAGACAATCAGTTTGATTGACGTTTCATTTTAAATATATTTTTTTCACTCCGACAATTTTTTTAAAGAAAAACTCATTTTACTACAATTAGAAAAAACCATGTGTAAATAATTTGAATTATAATTGACCACTTGGTCTTTTTTACGAGAACGTTATCTCTTTCCCCCTTTTTTTTGACGGAACATTTAATTGTCTTAAACCTCGAATCCGCACACTTATAAATAAGTTTGCATCTTTTCACATTTACTTAAATAGTAATACCCAACTGCTTTTAAATCTTTCTTATTTAAACCATTATTTTCTTATCTTTCATTCATTACTAATCTCCATATCATTTGTTAACGAAATAAGAAGTAATATTCAATGGGTAAGGTCGATAACTTGAATATAGAGAGCTATATAATGTAACTTCCGGTTGGTTGGTCGTGAATTAAATTACCTGTAGGTTTACACATGACTTGGACTTACGGTAGGCTTTTCCAAATAACTGCTTCATTCTGCCTCTACTCTTGGAGGAGCTAGCTGCTGTGAACATCTTGTCCAAACTCACAGAGTTCCGCTTCTTAACTGGTCTGTCCGCTTGAGAGCGTTTTAATCGAATTTGACTAAGGGTTCCTACCAGAAGTTCGTCAACATGATGATTGATCCCCGCTGATGTTTCAATAAATTTGCAATGCTGGTACGTAGCCAAAGCTCTGCCAGCTAAAACAAAAGTACGCGAAACTTATAGAAAATAAATAATAGTTCAATGGCTATCTACTTTATTGTAAAGGCGCTCTATTTAATCATTACCTAGCCAAATTCCAAGCCTAGTGATTCTACGCACTTTGAATAAAGAACTGAACATGCATTTTCTTATTTTTCATAAGGTAAATTCGCGAGTGGAAGCTAGTTTAAGGTATTGCGATATCACAGTACTCATGCTGGTTTTTAAATGATTTAGGAGCAATGGAAAGAATTAGGTTATACACCATTTCTGGGTCTAAAGGAGAATGTAAGGTAAAAAAACAATAAAGCTGAATCACCTGAGTTAAAACTAAAATAACAACTAACAGATATGAATTTCAATTGTTAACTTACTGGAATTCAATTCTATCATTATATCTTACGAGTAACAAACTATCAGGCAAAAAGTGTACAAGCTAAATTTAGTACTTTAAATAAATTTCATATGATATACTTCTAGTTTTTGTCAGTTTGTTATATTTTCGCGCAATGCTACACGAAGGCTATTTGCACTAGTTATCCCTAATTTTTAAATGGCAGCTAGGGGGTTGTTCTCTTAGCTACACAATGAGCTATCTACACTCTGTCCAAAGCGGGGAAGCTAATCCCGGATTTTAGCATTGTAAGTTCATAAATTTACCGCTGATTCACCACGGGACAGACTAGAGGGAAAACAGGAAAACACGATTGACTCTTGAGCTATTCTTGTCTTAACAAATAATGGTATTTGATCATCACCCGTATAACGCACCTATGGCCCAAAAGTGCGGACCATAGAACCTCTGCTTCGCAGTCCGGCACACTAAAATTGCGCTCGGCTTTATATAATATACACCTGGAAAAAAGTTAAGCACCCCCCAATATTTTTCAGGATTGCTTATTGAAAATAAGGTT